CCTCCAAAGCTCCTCTTGGAAAGGGAATGTTGGAGCTCCTTCTTCCCTGCCAGCACATTCCTGTCCCTGCGTGGTGGGAGGTCATTTGTGCCACTGCACAGTGACTGTTCCAAACCATCTCAGCTGGAGCTGAAACACCAAGCTGAGCCCTCCAGGGTGAATTGCTCCCTCAGGGCAGGACTCACTGGCACAGCTCATGTAGGACAGTAAGTGGAGGTACCTACAGGTGTTTGTCACAGATGAAACTCATGGACAAGGCTGGAGTAAAGAGCAAACAGAGCCACACACATCCCCTCAGTGTTCCACTGTACCTGTGCAAAGTACAACTTCAGCTTCTTCCCACTGAAGTCTGTTTCATGCAGCTCTATCCGTGCTCTTGCTGCTGCCTCTGGATTGCTGAAGTTTATCCTCACTCTTCTAAAGCTTTTAAACAACTGGAATGTCACTTGATCATCATAGACTGTGAAAAGTGCTTCAAACCTTTCCTAGAGATGAAGTACAAAGATTCTCCAAACATGAAAGCAACATTTCCCTTTTGCTTTCCTCTCCCAAATCCCAGTCATTTTCCTTAGCACCTCACCCTGCACGTTCCATCCCTCCCTCTCAGTTACCCAGAGCTGTAAATCCTTTTTCACTGTGGGGTTTGGTCTCACTAGTCACCTCAAATTCCAAGAGCTCACTGAGCCCATAAAACTCTGAACACACCAAGTGCCACCCAGTGATAGAGACTCAAAAGTGCAATGGCAACAAACTGGTACTGACTCCTGATTTCCACCAGGGACCTCCAAAAATACTCTGCAAATCAGGTAGTTTTAATTTTAAATTAAAGCATTGAGTAATGAAGGAAGTGTCAAAATTCTCAGTGTGAATCAGGTGATGAATAACAGGTTTTTGTCTCCTCTAAAGTCTGCTCAGAGAAATAAAATATTGGGAAAAAATCAGCTTTTATTGCATAGGGAATCTTATCCTCAAGTCCTTTAAAAATGATAACTAAACTGCTGTGAACAACAATCAATCAGTTTGTTATGAAATCCGACTCGAAATTTTCAGTTCTGAAATGCATTGGGATGAAATTAATGTACCAATTTTTCTGATCCACCAGTGACCTCATTCGCAGACATTTCACATCACTAATTTAACAATGGGTTCAAAAGGTTTTGATTTCCATCTGCCCCTGGATGTGATACCACAACACTTGGATGCAGAGGGGAAACATAATCAGCAGCTGTTTCCATGGGAGCAGAACTATGAATCCATTAACCATTTTGAGTGTAGGATTATCTGCTCTTTGCTAACTGGACTCATGCTCTGAGCTCACCAGGGAAACACCCTGAGTTGGGTTTTTCCCCCATTATAATATCCCTCAACACACTGAAAATCCAGACAAAAACATTTAGCAGCTGCATCTACAGGTAAAATACTCCACATTCTTTCCACCTTACCTTCTCCTCCTGCACCTCAAACACAGCCTCATGAACACTGCAGGCAAAGAGGGAGGTAGGCAAATCACTCAGATCCATCATCTCTTCCAAATCGTCTTCATTTTCCCCAAAAATCATCTGTTCCTCCTCTTCTTGGTCGCTGCTGTACAGGTCTGACTGACTGTCACTCCAGGACTTCATTGTGTCTCTCAGCATCTCACCCACAGCAGCTCCTGGTTGTGTCTCACAGAGCTGTGCCACGAAATGAAACCGAAAGGAGTGTGAACACACCACATCCTCCTGAACCACAGAATCATAGAATCAACCAGGGTGGGAAAGACCTCCAAGATCATCAAGTCCAACCCTCCCATGGTTACCAGACCATGGCACTAAGTGCCACATCCAGTCTCAGCTTGAAAACCTCCAGGGATGGTGAATCCACCACCTCCCTGGGCAGCACATTCCAATGCCTGATCACTCTCTCCCTAAAAAATCTCTTCCTAATATCCAACCTAACCCTCCCCTGGCAGAGCTTGAGTCTGTGCCCTCTTGTCCTGGGAGAAGAGACCAACCCCCACCTGACTCCAACCTCCTGTCAGGGAGTTGCAGAGGGTGCTAAGGTCTCCCCTGAGCCTCCTCTTCTCCAGGCTGAACACCCCCAGCTCCCTCAGCCTCTCCTCATGGCACTTGTGCTCCAGTCCCTTCCCCAGCCTCGTTGCTCTTCTCTGGACCTGCTCCAGCCCCTCAATGTCCCTCCTGAGCTGAGGGGCCAGAGCTGAGCACAGGATTTGAGGTGAGGCCTCACCAGCACCGAGTTGCTTTGACTGTGTAGACAAATAATGTGCCAAAGAACAGAAATCAGCACTAAACTTGTTCTGTCACCCACAAATCCCATTGCTGCCACAGCAAAGACTCTGCTGTTCCATCACAGGGAAGATAAAGTCACTCTGTCAAGTAACATAAATTT